TCAGCCCTTACCCTTCACCTCTCACTCCTCAATTCCCCCCTACTCCCCTTTATTTTGTTACTGGAATTCGAGATTTCCTTACTTGGCGTAGTAAACCCAGCCGTCTTTTGTGGTCCTCTCCTCCCAGCCAGGAGGCAGTTCATCCTCACTGTCGGTGTCGTCCAGCCCCGCATACTTCAAAGCGGCCATCGTCCTCGCAGGTGCACACCGCAACCGCCAGACTGTTTACCTACCTCACTTCCGCCTCCCCCACCGGAAACAACCGCCATCGCACATGCTCGCCCGCCACCCTGGCGTGCTGGGAGTCGTAGTTTTCTCTGCCAGCGCATAAGGCCAGTCCACTCTCAGAAGCAAAATGCTGCAGTTGCTAAAAATCCGATATAAACAGAGAAGGCTGGTAAAATGTTCAACTGAAGAAGCATTTCCTTAAATGCTCAACTGTTTTTATTTTTTAACATAGATTGGGATAAAAGTAAAATACTGCGGTGCTGAAAACCTAACATTGGTACGAGAGCTAGGAGCTGTAGGAGGCAATTCAGCTCCTCAAGCCTACTCTACCATTCATCATGGTGATCTCATATCAGCCTCAACCTCACTTTCCTGCCTGCTCCCCATAACCCTTCAACCCATTACTAATTAAAAATCTGCCTAATTACTCCCTAAACTTACTCAAATGTCCCAACATCTACCATACTCTGGAGTACTGAATTCCAAGATTCATGACCTTTGGGAAAAGTAATTCTTCCTTATCTCTGTTTTAAATCTGCTACATCTTATCCTAAAACTATGATCTCTCATTCAATATCACCCCACAAGAGGAAACATCCTCTTTACTTTGTAAACCTCCTTTAGCATCATATATATCTCAATGAGCTCTCCTCTCATTCTTCTAAACTTAACATGTTCAATTTCTCTTCATAGAATCCCTTCAGCCCAACAAGTCCACACTGAACCTTAGTGCATCCACCCAGACCCATCCCCCTATAACCCACCTAAGGCTACACATCCCTGAACACTATGGGCAATTTAGCATGGCCAATCCACCTAACCTGCACATCTTTGGACTGTGGGAGGAAACCCATGCAGACACAGGGAGAATGTGCAAATTCCACACAGACAGACACCCAAGGCTAGAATCGAACCTAGGTCCCTGGTGCTGTGAGGCAGCAGTGCTAACCACTGTGCCACCGTGCCGCCCCCTCTTCATAATACTAACTCCTAATCTCTGGAATATTCTGAGTGAGCAGGAAATGCTGGAGATAGTGCATAGCATCACTTGCCTAGAATGAAAAAGCAGTAAAAAATCAGTGATACTTGGAAATGAATGCACCTAAAAACAGAAATTTCTGGAGAAACTCAGCAACTCTCACAGCATCTGTGGACAGAAAACAAAGTTGAGTCCAGTGACCTTTCATCAGAGCTAGTCGTGCTAGAGCACTGTTCTGATGTATATAAGACAAGTTGGACTATTAGGTTTTACTGATTTTTCCTTATGGGTGGGAAACTAAAAGGCGTTAACCTTTCATGTCAATGATCTTTCAGTGAATCTTATAAACTTACAATTTATTCACAGATTTCACAGCAACTTCCAAAGGGCCATACAGCCAATGAAGTATTTTACACACCATCGCTGTTGTACAAAAGGCAGTCAGCTATCCTGCAATCAGCAATGTCACAAAATCCAAATCAGTTATTTTTGTATTGATCGAGGGATGAACATTGGCCAGAATATCAGGTATAATTCATCTACCCTTCTTCCAAAAAAAATTCTTAGAGATTGTAAGATAACATTCCAAAACGTTGACTTGAAAATTACAGAAAACACTATCAAATTCAACTTGTCCCCATAAATCATATACCACTTTGAAATACCTCAATACAATTGTAATAGTCATTTGATAGAACGTAAGCATTGCTGAACAAAAATGTTGTCAAGGCTGGTTATATTGGACTGATCAGGACCATTCACAAGAATAACAATTCAAGGGGAAAACCATCATTTAAACTGTATGAGAGGAGGGTGCTGATTAATTGGCTATTGGATTCTGATTCATGCAATCATTGCCACGGAGAATGGACACATTAATGATGACTGACAGTCCTTCTGGTGATAAGCAAGACTATTCCCATCAGATCTTTTGTATGTGTACCATATCTCATCCCCTCTGCACATTGTGCTCAATGTGGCAGTGGTCTGGAAGAGACCATTGCCCATCTGCTTGTGGAAAGTGTTTCTCATAGATCTGAAGAGAAATGTATTTTTTCCCCCAATATTCATCCCAAGCAGGTCTGTCATGCACACTGACTGCAATTGCAGCTGAATGGCCATCAACTGTGTGAAAGGTAGTCTTTGGCCTGCCTGAAACATGCTGGTCTTCCAGTTTAAAGTATCTTGGAGATTGGCACATTCAGAAGTCTAGTACTCCCACTTGAGGGATGCTCTAAAGCTTAAGCAGTCGCTATGGAGACCAGCTCTGATGAAGAGTCATCTAGACTCAAAACGTTAGCTTGCTCTGTCTCCACGGATGCTGCCTGACCCGCTGTGATTTCCAGCAATTTTTGCTTTCAGCTGTAGACAATACTGTGGAAAATGTGCCAGTTAATGATGACTAATAGTTAACTGCCAGGTTTTGTCTAAATTTTAAATCAGACAGATCAACTCGGATGTACCAATGACATTGCAGTGATAAATAAAGCAGAGAATAGCTGTCACTATTTTAGTTGCACTGAAATAGGTACAGTATGTGTATATGCTCTTTCTGTCTGTTGAGAACAAGGCCCTCTGTATTAATATATGTAGCTTCCAGTCTATGAAAGTGTGGTTACTGGAAGCCCAACTGACAATCCTAAATTTATTATTAGTATAATTCAAAGCATACTCAGGATTGTGTTGTAAATGTTTTCCAATTGCAGAATCACATCTAGTGTTGGACACTGTGCTGCACATTTTGGAAGTACAGGCTGTTTGGGTATGATCACTGTCTCACTGCTGCAAACTGCCAAAGAGATTTGCTGTTCGGTACAATCTGCCAGTTTTCCAGAACTACAACATACATACCTAGTATCCAACTCACTGAAATTCATATTCCACATTTCTCATTTGTATGATAAGCAGAATGTCTTTTAGTATTGCGAAAATCTACCTTCACTATTTAATATAAATGTTGGGATTCCTACAGTTCTGCATGGCATAGATTGGCCTTATCGGCAAACCAACAAATTGGGTTTCTAAGAGTCATACCGAACCTGAAATATTAAATCCGTTTCTCTCTCTACAGATGCTGCCAGATCTGTGGGGTTTGTCCAGCAATCTCTGTGTTTGTTTCAAATTTCCAACATCTGCATCATGTTGTTTTCATACAAATGTAGTTTATGAATTTCAGTTCTGTACCATACATTTAGAAGATAGGTCTGTAGACTACCAAACAAAGTTAATGCCCATAATCGTTCATTTTGGAGGCTTAATTCACCCATTGACCCAGAAACAAAAATCTCAAAGCATTTTACAGTAGAATTATCAAACAAAATTTGAATCTAAGCAACATATGATATCAGAACAGATGAGCAAGAGTCTGGTTAAATAGGTCGATTTTAAGGAATGTCTTAAAGGAGAAAATAAAAAGAGAGGTGTAGAGATTTGCAGTAGGAATTCAAGAGATTAGGCCTCAGCAGCTGAATGCATGGTTGTCAGTGGTGAAGTGGTTAAAATCAAGAAACGTTAAAAATCCAAAATTGGAGCAGCGCAGAAATTGTGGAGGATTGAAGGGCCAGAACAAATTAGAGACGGAAAGGGGTGAGGCCATGTGGCAATTTGAAAAGAAGGATGAGAATTTTAAAATTGAAATATGGTTCAACAAGGAGCCAATGTGGGTCAGCAAACATGGCATGATTTGCAAAAGGAAGTTAGTGAAAACAGACTTTTGGATGACTTCAGGTTTACAAAATTTGGAATGTGGTAGGTTAGGAACGTGTTGGAATAGTCAGGATTGGAGATAACAAAGCCATAGATGATGGTTTCAGCAGAAGACGAGCTGTGGCAAGGGGAAAAGCATGAGGGGGAAACCAAATATCAAATACAGTGACTTCAGTCTTTCCATTATTTAGTACTAAGAAGATTTCTGGTCATCCAATACTGGACGTCAGACAAGCAGTCTGGCAAATTTCGAGATAGTAGAGAGATTAAGAGAGGTGGCAGTAAAGTTCATCCGTCTACAAGTGGAAAGTAACGCTGTGTTTTGGAATGATGTTGCCAAGGGGCAATATTCAATTGAGATATAGGATCAACAAAGCAGGCAACGCCTGATACACAGAACAATCAAAATATTATTGGCGCTCTCCCTTTGCCTCAGAAGATGGAGGTGAGGTCGTTGAATATTTTAAGGTGCAGACAGATAGATTCTTGTCAAGCAAAGATATCAAAGGTTATCTGGAGTATGTGGCAATGTGGAAATCGGAACACAAACAGATCAGCCATGATCTTAATGCATGGCAGGGCAGGGTTGAAGTGCGAAATGGCCTACTTGTGCTCCTAATTTATAAATATGTAACCAAGATGCTACTACTGCCCCCAACGATTGTTCCTACAAATCTGCTTTGTTTTGTAAAATTCTAAGATAGTCTATTTTGTCTTTTAAGAACTATTTTCAAACAAAATGCTGATTACACTTTCCTTTTCAGAGCACATAGATATAATGTATACTGCCCTCAGGACCCTTGAAGCCAAAAGTAAACAACAGCAGCTTTTCCCATGAACCAAAGTCAAAAATATGGCTTTAATAAGCCCCTAGAGAACAATATCTGAACAACAGGCAGCAACAATTCACCTGGAAGAACAGAATGCTCCAGCATGATGATAGAGGAGAGAAAACCTTGCAATAGACCAATGAGAAAAGCAACAAATGAAATATAAATGAACTGTGCTATGTCTAATCTTCAGGGCAAGGGATATTGGGTTCCATGTGTATTCTCTATCCCTATCAATATAGCTCGGATTCAATGAGGGTATTCAGTACAGTGAGATCTAACTAAAGCACAACCACCAATAATGGGCAAAGGTACAGAAAGTATAGGTTAACTCAATGGAAGTTTGGCAAGATAATGAAGCCCTGACAGGATTTAAGTGCAAGAATGACAAGTGGGGAACCAGATAATTATCAGAGAGAATAGTTGCGATAGCCAACTGGGACTTGATGTGGGGTAAGATAAAATATGGCAGCTGAATGTTAAGCTGAAATTTATGGAGGGTTTTCTACAAAGGCAGAGAATCAGCAGTAAGGTGATGAGTGGCAAGAGCATTGAAGCAGTAGCAGTCATTAAATAATGAAACTGTGAAAATTTACTGTGTAAAATAAACATAATACAGGGTAAAACCATAAAATGTAGGAGCAGAGGTATGACCGTGACATAGGAGCAGAATTAGGCCATTAAGCCAATAGAGTCTGCGGTGTCATTTGATCGTGGCTGATACATTTCTCCCTGCAACCCTTGATCCTTTTATCAATCAAGAACCCATCTATCTCTGTCTTAAGGACGCTCAATGACTTGACCTCCACAGCCCTCTGCAGCAGTGACTTCCACAGATTAACCACCCTCTGGCTGAAGAGATTCCTCTTCATTTCATTTCTGAAGAGGCATTCCTTCATTCTAAGGCTGAGCCCTCGGGCCCTGTCTCTCCTACAAGTGGAAATATTCTGTAAGTTTCAATCAGATCCCCCCTCATCTTTTAAACTCCATCGAGTACAGACCCAGAGTCCTCAACTGCTCTTCATACGGCAAGCCCTTATTCACCAGGATCATTCTTGTAAACCTCCCCTACACCCCCTCTAACGTCAGCATATCCTTCCTTAGATCCAGGGCCTAAAACTGCTCACAATATTCAAAAAAAAAGCGATTTGATGAGTGCCTTATACAACCTCAGCAATATATCCCTGCTCTTGCATTCTAGTCCTCTTGAAATAAATGGTAACATTGCATTTACATTTCTAACTGCTAACTGAACCTGCATGTTAACCTGAAGAGAATCCTGAACTAGGACTCCCAAATCCCTTTGTGCTTCAGATTTCTGAAGCCTTAGAAAATACTCTTTGCCTTTATTCCTCTTACCAAAGTTATAACCTCACACTTTCCCATGTTGTGTTCCATCTGCCCACTCTCCTAGACTGTCCATGTCCTTCTGCAGGTTCCCTGCTTCCTCAACACCACCGGTCCCTCCACCTATCTTTGTCTCATTTACAAATTTAGCAAAATGCCTCAGTTCCTTCCTCCAGATCATTAACGTATAACATGAATACTTGTGGTCCCAACATGCACCACTGTAGAACTCCACTCGTTACTGGCTGCTATTCTGAAAAAGACCCCTTCATCCCTACTCTCTGTCCTCTGCCAGTCAGCCTCTATCCATGCCAGTACCTTGCCTCTAACACCATGGCACTGTGTTATTTAGCAGCCTCTTGTGCAGAACCTTGTCAAAGGCCTTCTGGAAATCAAATAGATCATGTTCATTGGCTCTACTTTGTCTAACTTGCCCATTACCTCTTCAAAGAATTCTAACAGATTTGTCAGGCATGACCTCCCCTTGATGAAGCTGTGCTGACTCAACACAATTTTATCATGCACTTTCAAGTACTCCACATCTCATCCTTAAAGCGACCACAGTTAGAATAACCAGATTTTAGTTTCCTGCCTTCTGCCTCCCTCCCTTTATAAACAGGTGTGATACATTAGCTATTTTCCAATCCTCTTGGACCATCCCTAACTCCAGTGATTCCTGACAGATCATCACATGCCTCCACATTCTCCTCAGATATCTCCTTCAGAACTCTAGAGTGTAGCCCATCTGGTCCAAATGATTTATCCACCTTCAGACCTTTCAACTTCCACAACATCTTCTCCTTAGTGATAGCCACTTCACTCACCACTGTCCCCCAGCTCTCTTGAAGTTGTGGTACACTGCTATTGTCTTCCACTGTGAAGACTGATGCAAAGTACCCATTTAGTTCCTCCACTTAAGTTCCTTATTACTATTTCTCCAACCTGATATTCCAGTGGTCCAATATCCATTCTTGCCTCTCACATTTTACGTATGTCAAAAAAGCTTTTGCAATCTTCTTTTATATTATTAGCTAGCTCACTCTCATATTTCATCTTCTCCCGCCTTATTGCTTTTAGTTATCCTCTGCTGGTTTTTAAAGGTTTCCCACTAATCTTCAACAGATTGTATGATTTTTCTTTTGCTTTCATGCTGTCCCTGACTTTCCTTGTCAGCATGGTTGCCTCACCCTCCCATTAGTGTTTTTTCTTCCTTGGGATGAATTTCTGCTGAGCCTTCTGAATTGCCCTCAGAAACTCCTGCCATTGTAGCTCCACCATCTTCCCTGCTGGGCTCCCCTTCCAATTAACTCTGGCCAGCTCCTCCCTCAAGTCTTTGTAGTCATCTTTTCTCAGCTGTAATACCATTACAACTGATTTCAGCTTCTCCCTCTCAAACTGCAGGGTGAATTCTATCATATTATGGTCACTGCCCCCTTGGAGTTCCTTCACCTTAAATTTCCTAATCAAGTCTGCCTCATTACACATCACCAAATGCAGTATTGCCTGTTCCCTAGTGGGGTCTATCACAATCTGCTCTAAAGAACTATCTCATAGATATTCTATGAATTCCTTTACTTGAGATCCGCTACTGACCTGGTTTTTCCAGTTCACCTGGATTTTGAGGTCCCCCCATGATTATTGTAATTAATGCCTTTTTTTAATCTCCTGATTTATTTTCTTCCCCACATCCTGACTACTGCTCGGCTTGTACATAGCTCCCATCAGTCTTTTTTCCTTTGCGGTTTCTCAATTCTCCCACACAGATTAGATGCCTTCTGACTATCAATTTAATTTCATTTATTACTAACAAGGCAACCCCAACCCCTCAGCTCATCTGCCAATCCTTCAGATCTGTATCCTTGGATATTTAATTCCCAGTCCTGATCCTATTGCAGCCATGTCTCTATGATACCCAGAATATTGTATCCACCAATTTGAAACTATGCTAAAAGCTCATTTACCTTGTTTCACATACCGCGTATATTTAAGTACAACACTCACAGTGGTATTTCTGAAGAAGGGTTCTGACCCGAAACGTCAGCTTTCCTGCTCCTCTGATGCTGCCTGGCCTGCTGTGCTCCTCCAGCTCCACACTGTGTTACCCTCAGTGCTGTGTTGACTGCCCTCCTTCTCAAAGTTGTCCCCTTATCTGCTGTGCCCGAGATTAGATTCCTGACCCCTTTATTACTCACTAAGCTTTTACTCTTCATGTACCTACAGAAGCTTTTGTAATCAGTTTCTATGTTCCCTGCAAACTTACTCTCACACTTTCCTCTCTTAATCAATCTTGTTGTCCGCCTTTGCTGAAATCTAAATTGCTCCCAATCCTCAGGGGGATTTTTGGCCAATTTGTATCCCCCTCCTTTGGATCTAACACTATCCCCAAATTCCCTTGTTAGCCACAGACAGGCCACCTTTCCCATTTTATTTTTAACCTTAAGCTGTCAAATGTTAGAATAAAAGTCACCTCTTTCCTCCAGCAGCCACCCCAATCCATCCATGTAGAATGATTTACAACAGATAAGTTGATTAGGATTTCAATTAATTTTAATCATGAGTAAAGCATATCTCTGAAAGGGTTGTGAGTGAATCTGTGGAATTCATGGTGCCAGATGTCATGAATCTCAGGACATTAAGTGAATTTAGAGTCATAGACCTGTGCTTCTAGCACAGAATGCGACCTGCATGAGATTGAAAACACTGGGAGTTGAGCTGAGTGTGGGAATTTAAGAATATAAATCTTGATCTTTTGCATTCTTAGAATCTAAAACTGCGGGTAAGATGCAAGGAGGAGATGATGGATTATTAATTAGCAATGGGTTGAAGCGTTACAGAGATTGTGCAGGAAAGTGCAATTAAGGCCAAGGTAAGATATGATCGAGTGAATGGCCAATTCTTGCTTTTAGTTTTTAAGAAGGGTCAGTGGTCTGGTATGTTAACTGTTTTCTCTCTCTCCACACTTGCTGTCAGACCTGTTGAATTTTTCCAACAATTTTCCGTTTTGCCCCTAGTTCTTAAATTGTGATTCAGATCTCGATCCTACAGTGCAGGTTGAGTTTCGTCAAACAGTCACCCTCCTTTGATGAGTTCAGAGACTTTTGAAGGAACACCAAAAGCCTGACAACAGGCCGATTGCAGCTTTGGCCCTCAACCCACAGCATTACCTTGACGCCCTGTTCTGTGTAGGAGAGGGGGAAGTATATCCGGGTCAAGGAGGAAGTATATCCGGGTCAAGGAGGATTTCCTGTTCCGCCTAGCAACCGGTCGTTGCTGAGCTGTGGTCGTCGGTAGCTGTGGCCTTCAGGAGGAGACGATGGTAAAGAAAAACACATACACAATAAAACGAGGCAAAACGGAACCGAACTGATAAGAGCGATTATTCTCGGATTATTTAAAGAAGCGGCCGTGGGGCAGGCGGGGAGTGAAATAGATTATTCACCGAATGTCCACGACCCGGGAAGGGAATGGCATTCCATCAGGATGTGGTTTATTGTTGCTTTTATTTTACTACTGCGTTCTTGCAACCCCAGCTTGTTCAGCTCACTCCGTCTAATTTATACTTTTGTTCCGACGTTCCGGTCTGTTTAAATGATAACATCTCATTGTGATGCTTTTGAAATGTTTCTCTGGGGCCTGTGGCTGATTTGATTTTAACTTTGACATCGTATAGTTGCAAAGCCTAATTACCCCTGCTACCCCCTTCATTAAAAATAAAGTAGCTGGGGTCCTCTGGAAATGTTCCGTCCACATTGGTTCGTAAAGGATTGTCTGTATCTTGCAGCGTGGTAACTTGTACCCAAATTTATTTTGTTGCCATTAAAAATTATAGTTATGGTGGGTATGTGAGTTATTGGCAGGATGTTTGGTTTTCAAGTTGTTGGGTAACCCCTGGTAGTCTGATCATAGATTTTAGCCTTCCAAGTATGTTGTGAGTCATGTTAGGGTCGGTGCAGACTTGTCACTGGTGCAGACTTGTCACTGCTGATGAGTGCAATTTGAGGTGTTGATCCTAAGAGTTGCATTGTATTGAGGTTGGTTGGCTCGCCGAGCTGGTTTGTTGTTCTGCAGACGTTTCGTTACCATGCTTGGTAACATCCTCAGCGCAGCCTCTGATGAAGCAACAGACCCCAGAGTTAAAAACCAGGTGGGAAGACACACTGACGCTTCATCAGAGGCTGCACTGAGGATGTTACCAAGCATGGTAACGAAACGTCTGCAGAACAACAAACCAGCTCGGCGAGCCAACCAACCTCAACACCCACAACCCGAGCGACAGATCTACTCCAAAACCTTAGAGTTGCATTGTATATTGACAAACATGAATTTTCCCCAACAGTGTTCTGACATTGAGATGCTAAGTAATTCTACTGAAAAAAATTAAAATCACATAACATTAGTAGGAGCAAGGGTAGTCTATTTCAATCCTGATCCAGACTGATTGTCTGCTCCTTTTTTTTTTTTGCCTATATACCTTGATTCTAGTGAACTCCAAGTTCTGTTTATGTGCTTGACGATGATCCAACTGAGCATTTACAGCTCCCTGGTGTAGAAAATTCCCAAGATTCATAGCTTAGTCTTAATTAACCAACTCTTTATCCTGACAGCATGTTTCTTTTTGGACTGGTTCCTTTGGTTGGACATTGTCTCCGCATCCTCCTGTCCAGCATGCTCAGAATCTGTTTCAATGACATCACCTCTCATTCCTTCTAAACTTTAGAGCACATTGATCCATTCTACTCAATCTCTAATCATTGTTAAGTAAACAATCTAGTAATCTCTATAATTTTATCTTTATTATTTCGTGGGATGTAAGTGTTGATGGCAAGGCCTGCATTTGTTACTCATTTCTACTTCACACTTCCTTGAATAGTGTGCCTTGCTTGACCATTTCAGAGGGCATTCATGAGTCAATGTTACTGTGTGCCTGGAGTCACAGGGTGGCAGATTTCCTTATCTAAAAGATTTTAATGAATCAGATCGGGTTTTATAGCAACTATGGTGTCACCATCATCATTACTGAGACTTAGATTTGTTAATTGATTATAAGTTATATTAGCTGCCATGGTGGGTTTTGAACCCTCAATGGTCCTAGAAAATTAATATGCGCCACTTGATGATGAGTCCAGTGACATTACCACTATGCAATTCAATGAATAAATCTGGAACTAAAAGTTTGTGTAATGATGACCATGAAACCATTGTTGATTGTCATTAAAACCCATATGGTTCACCTATGACCATTAGGGAAGGAAGATCTGCCATCCTTACCTAGGTTAGCTGACATGTGACACGTGATCCACAGCAACGTAGTTGACTCTTAATTGCTCTCTAAAATGGCCGAGAGCCACTCAGTTATATCTAACTGCTCCAAATTCCGATTAGAAGGACTGAAACTGAATGGACCACCCAACATTAACTGAGGCACTGGAAGCAACACAACAGCCATGTCAACCCTGCAAATTCCTCCTTACTAATGTCAGGAGCTTGTGCTAAAATTGGGAAAGCTGACTCATGGACTAGTTGAGCAACAGCCAAACGCTATCTGTAAAAAATAGTTCTGTGAAAATGACTATATCCCACATACTTCCATCATCATCCTTTAGTAGGTTCTGTGCCATTCTCAGGGCAGATCCACCAGAGGTTACAGAATGGTGGTATATGGAGAGGAGGGAGTTCTCAACATTGACTATGGATCCTGCAATGTCTCATAGCATCAGGCCAAACAGGGTCAAGGAAATGTTGTACTGATTATCGCCTACTGGCCCTCTCAGTCCACCAGCTGATGACTCAGTACTCTGCCATGTTGCACGCCACTTGAATATACTGAGGGTTGAAAGGGCACAGAAGGAACGTGGATGGGGGAGGCTGGAGATTTCAATGTTCATCAAGTGTGGCTTGGTAGCACCACTTTAACTTAATGGCCAAGTCCTAATGGACAGCTGATAGACTTGTCCTACAGCAGATGGTGAAGAACCAACCAGACGAAAAATTGTACTTGATTTCATCTTGACTTCCTCCTGAAGTACTTAGCATCACAAATGCCAGCCTTGAGGCAATTTGACACACTAAGTGATATAAAGAAACAGCTGGAAATACTGAGTACTGTAAAAGCCACTTGTCCTGACAACATTCTAGTAGTAGTACGAGAACCAGCCATGCCCAGACTCAAGCTGTTCCAGGACAGCTACAATACTCTCATCAACACAGCAATGTGAAAAATTATCCATGAAAATTTGGCCAATTGCTGCCCCATTGGTCTACTCTCAATCGTCAGCAAAGACATACTATCAACAGTGCTATCAAGTGCCACTTACTTACTCAACCATACCCTGCTCGCTCCTCAGTTTGGGTTCCTTCAGGCCCACTTGGCTGCTGGCCTCATTATAACCCAGGTCCAAGCTTGTTCAAAAGTGTTGAACTTAAGGGAATTGAGAGTGACTGCCCTTTACATCAAGATAGCATTTCCTGGAATGTGACATTAAGTGATGGGAATTTCGTGAAAACTCTCCGTTAGTTGGATTCGTATTTTGTTGGAGGTCACTTGTTTCAACCATAGGACATCATTGATAGAGTTTCTGTGGGTAATGTCCTTGGCCCATCTATCTTCAGATGCATAATTAAACGTGCTGAGCTTTTCCAGCAACTTCTGTTTTTGTATCGTCAGATGCATTTTGATCAGTAGATAATCTACTAGAGGAGGACGAGGGCCCTTCATAAACATACTGATCCTTAAGGTTTTAGAGGAGATTTGATCTTCTAATGGCACATCCAGCATATCAATGAAAGAGACAAGGATGAAGATTTGAAAACCATCTTTAGCCAGAGGGGCTGAATGGGTGATCCATCTTGGCCTCTTTCTGAGTTGTTCAGCATCTCACATGCCAATTCAGTTCACTACATGTGGTATGAAGAAATGACTCGGCACATCAGATCCAGCAAAGCCTTAGGCCCTGACAGCCTCCTGCCTATAATGCTAAAGGTCTACATTAATGCAAGTACTATAGCCAAATTTGCACGTACACTAAAATAGGTGGGGAAGTAAGTTGCAATAAAGAAATAAGAAATTTATAAATGGATATGGAATTGTTGGGTGAGTGGGCCAAAATTTGGCAAGTGAAGTTTAACGCGGATAAGTGAGGTTATCCATTTGCGTCAGAGGAATTAACTGGCAATGTACTGTCTAAATGGAGAGAAACTTCAGAGTGCTTCAGTACAGTGGGATCTGGGTGTCCTCCTGCATGAATCACAGAAAACCAGTATGCAGGTGCCACAGGTAGTAAGGAAGGCAAATGGGTTTTGGGCATTTGTTGCAAAAGGAATAGCAGGGAAATGTTGCTGCATTAGTGAGACTGCACCTGAGGTATTATGTACAATTTTGATCCCCTTACTTGAGGAAAGATATAGCTGCATTAGTGGAATTTCGCTAGATTAATTTCAGAAATGAGGGGTGTGTCTTCCGAAGAGAGATTGAGCAGTTCGTATTTGTTAATTCATAGAGTGGAGTTCAGACCGAGATCAGATTAGCCATGATTGGATTGAATGGTGGAGCAGGCTTGAGGATCTGAATTGCCAACTCCTGCTCCTAGTTCCTATTTGCTCCAGCGCTGACTGCATCCCTACATGTTCCAGTACATCTACAACACTGATATGTACCTAACAAAAGAGGAATTTTCCCCAGCATGCCCTGTCCACAAATAGAAGGGCAAATCAAATCTGGCCAGTATTGCCTCATCAGCCGACTGTTATCAGCAAAGCACTGGATGGTGTTGCCAATAATTCAACTGCCACTTACTCACTATTGACCTGTTTGGCTTGAGCCCTGGACATCAATACAGCCTTGTTCCAAACATAGATGGAAAAACTGAATTTGAAAGATTCTTCTTCTTAGGTACCCCTTGGGATTGAAGTTGACCTTCCTCTACTTCTGTGTTCAGAGGTGCCTAAACAGTCCAGTGCTGGACCTGTACTGCCTCCCACAGGTGTGACAGGTGGCATTTGAAGAGACAGATGGGTGGAATGTCTGGGTTTTGCATGATCCTTCCACTGTTTGCACTTGACCACAATCTAGGCCTGTCAGAGATGCTTAAAAGTGATTAGCACCTTTGCTGATTCTTCTCTGTTTTGTTTGGACTTTGACTAGAGATTTCAATGAGTCGACGAGGATATTGCTTTTTCTTCAGGGAGGTTTTTGGGAAGTATTTTGTGTTTCTGTTAACCACTTGCTGTGACGAAGCTTGACGTAGAGAGCTTGTTTTGGGAATCTTGTATCAAGCCTGTGGGTGACATGGCCCTCCCATGCGTCTGATTGACCATAACCAGTGCCTTGATACTGGAAATGTTGATTTGAAAGAGGACTCTGTTAGTGGAGCGCCTATCCTGTCATTAGTTTTGTAGGATTTTAGAGAGGCTTTACTGATGATATTTCTCAAGGGATTTGAGGTGTCTGCAGTAGATCATCCATGTCTCAAACACATACAGGAAGGCTGGTAACACTTCTGAACTGTAGACCATGAGTTTGTTTTCAAGCATGAGGCTTCAGTGTCAGTAGCCTGCTGCGGATCTTTCTAGACAGGGGACAGTGTTCTGTTTTGGGAACAGGCTGGTAGAAAACCTTTACTTTCTGGATATTTCGTCTGAGGCTCATTCTTTCATATGCCTTTAAGCAGATGCATCAACAACAGTTTAGAGCTTGCCTCTTGAGTGTATGGACAAACAAGTATTGTCTGCATAATGCAGCAAATTGATAGAGGTTAGGGTGTGCTTAGTTCTGGATTGGAGGTGGTACAAGTTTGAGAGCTAAACAAGAGTGACAGCCCTTGATGTCAAGATCATATGACCAAGTGTTGCATCTAGGCATCGTAGTAAAATTGAAGTCAGTGGAATTAGATGGAGGGAATGAAGCTTGGTAGAAAATGTTGATGTCAAACCTAGCGCAAAGGAAGATGGTTGTGGTTATGCAGGTTAATCATCTCAACCCAAGGAGTTTTGCTGAGTAGTGGTCTCAGCCGAACCAAGTTCAGTTTCTTCAACAATGACTTCTTCTTCATCATAAGGTCAGAAATAGGAATGTGAAAATATCTTGTGTTTCATTATCATCACTGAGACATTATTCTGGAGCTCCTTCCCTAACACCAAGCCACACATTAGAGTGATTTATGACAGTGGCTCCATCACTAATTTCTCGAGCAACTGGAGACAGACACTAAATGACACTCGTATTCCATTAATGAATAAGAAATGTGCAACTTTACAAACTTTGAGACCAATCCTTTTCTTTTGCTGTCAGCAATTCTTGCAAATGGTGACTATATTTTATTCCCTGCGCCATCACCAACCCCCCAAAAAAAGTCAATAATACTGTGTTTTGCTGTTCCTCAGTGGAATAGAGTGTGAGTCCCAACCTGGATCTCAGAACTAAACAATGAATTATTCATTGAGAGTGTAGATCTTTCTTTGAAAAAGAGAAAATTGATGTTCACTGTCCTTACATGAGACCTGTCTCTGACTTCTCACTTAGGCATGGTGATGATGTCAAAGGGAATTGAATTTTTTTGCTGAAAATGTTTTACCTGCACATTCCCTCCTGTATTGTTTACAGTTGCTAAGAACACATGCTGATCCAGCTGTAACTTTTCATTTTTCTGTACTCCCACTGGATGGATGATGCCTTTATCAATACCTACTTTTTGTTTCACTGAGTTCTTCAAGGGAGTTATAAGGATCTTAATTTCACCACCACCCTGGTTCTTTGCTAAGCCACCCTGGTCACTGGAGAACATTGTTAGAAACCCTTTCTACCATCATAGCCTGAATCTGCCAGTCCATCCTGGTCATACAGGGCTGCTGCATCACACAGTGTAATGGGTAGCCATCATCCTCATTTTTCTCTTTGTAGAGCAAAGGCATCTATTATTCGATTTATTTCATTGACAGCCATGCACATCCATCACCTCATAAGCTACATTGCATGCATCTGTACACTCTGATCAGAGAATAATGCATGCTAAACTGAAATGTTTTTAGTGTGGTTGCTGGTTGACTCCTTTAAATAGTTGGTAACGTTCTGTACTTTTCTTCCTATATGTAGCACAGTGTGCGTTTTTATTTGTTGGGGGCGACAATAGCCTAGTGGTGTAATTGCTAGACACCGATAATGTTCTGGTGTCCCATATTTGAATCTTGTCATGGTAGATGGTGGAATTTGAATTCAATAAAATATGGAATTAAGGGTCTAATGATGACATGAAACCATAGTTGATTGTCAGGAAAAACCCATCTGGTTCACTAATGTACTTTAGAAAAGGAAAATCTGGCATCCTTACCTGGTCTGGCCTACATGTGACTCCAGACCCACAGCAATGTGGTTGACTTAACTGCGATTTTGGCAATAAGTAGTGACCTAGAAGCAATGCTCACATCTCTTGAATAAATTTTTAAAAAGGCTTCCTAATGTACCCAGCTAGCTGCTAGCTTAGTGTAGCCTGTAAGTACCTTGTCACTGTTGTTTCTAATCTAAGCAATACCAGTGGATTCAGTGTTTCAAGAAGAAAATCATTTGAGAAAATTGTTTAAATAAATGTTTGATTCCAAGACTATCAAGCAGTGTTAGGGGCACAAGAAGTTAAGTTTAGACCATGCATCACTCGTATACTGTAAATGAGAATATGTACAGAACTGTTTTGTGATCTATAGTTTTTTTTAGAAAAATTGAAATTTGTGACATTCATATACCTAGGCTGCTCGTTAGAATGTGTGTTCGTCCTAAACGTTCCTATTTTCTCATATTCTTTTTCATTATTCTACCAGTCAGCACATCAAAACACATTAGAAGAATTGTGATGTGAGATTTTATATTCTATCAAATGTTATCTCATTTTTAACTAAAACAGAAATTGCTGGAGACACTCAGCTGGTCTGGCAGCATCTGTGGACAGAAAGCAGAGTTACCGCTTCAAGTCTAGTGACCCTTTTTCAGAACAGAAGGATTACTGAGCTCAAAACGCAAACTGTTTTCTCTCCACATATGCTGCCAGACCTGCTGAGTTTCTCCAGCAATTTCTGTTTTTCTTTCAGATTTCCAGCATCCACAGGTTTTGTTTTATTTTGCTGTCTTGTATTAATCTTCTTTTCTTAATTACAGAGTGAGGTAGAGGAAACTCTGAAAAGGATTCAATCTCACAAAGGTGTGATTGGAACTATAGTTGTGAACTCAGAAGGTATGTTGCTCTTTGTGCCTTAGTTTTCTAAGTTACTGGATATATCCATACTGAAACAATGACTCTAAGATATACAGAGCAGTTTTTATATTGATGTAATTAGAATTTTTATCCATGAGGAACTAGTATTCACTTTCCTTTGCAAGTAACACATTTGGACATGCACTTATCGTAGGTTATCAAGCCTGCCAGTGTGAAAAGAGATGGTTGAGTTTTAAAATGATGTAGGCGAGAGACCTTTTAACCAATCACAACTCTTTGGTAGAGCTATCCAAATAACCCCTCTCCCCTGCTCTTTTCCCATTACCCTAATATATATTTTTCCTTCAAGTATTTATCAAGTTGCCTTACGAATTTTGCTATTGAATCTTTGTCAATGCTGTTTGAAGCAGAGCAACTCGGATCACAGGTTTTTTTCTTAAATTACTTTAAATCTGTCTTCTAGTTACTGATTTTTCTCGCACTGGGAACAGTGTCTTCTTATTTACATTAGCAAATTTAGTCATGAACATTTATCAAATCTCCTCTGAATCATTTCTGCTGTAAGTTAAACAAGCCCAACCTCACCACACTGTCATATAACCAAAGTCTTTTAACCCTGATACCAAGTAAATAAATCCCTTCAACATCCTCCCAAAAACCCTGATATTCTTCTTAAGTTCAGAATCGAATCTGATGATGTAGATATTGGAAATGGATTCATATATTGGCTTCTAGAATTCAAATTAATATGCTACCATAATAAAAGTTCATTCTATATTCTTTTGATTTTGGAAGTAAGACGGTTGCTATTTTAAGCTTATTACAGCAAGAGTTCTGTCTGTTTTACCATGAAGAGATATGAGAAGAGGGTGTGGAAAGTGGAATAGAGAAGATCAGCCAAAGTCATAGCGAACAGCAGAGCAGACTGATGGGGCAGTGTGCTCTACTCCTACACTTATTTCTTGTATTCTTATCAGTCATTAGGTCAAAAGAATTCCATATTAATGCTTGACTTCAACAGTGTCCCTAATATTATAATTAGTGACAATGGGATAACACACTACTGCTTTACCTTGAAACTGGATTTGAATCCAAATGACATAATGAAAGCATCATTCCTTTCCTTGTTAAAGGAAATTAATTCAAGTTTGAACACACTGCACGAAAGAAGTCACAAATTCAGCTGGTATGCAAAACCGCACAAATACGCCAAGAGCTTTCTGTGAAGAACTCCATGGTGCGTCTAATCCATACCTATCCACTTTTTCTCTGCCAGCTGCATCAGTCCCACACAAAATGAATCCCATCAGCAAGTTAACTGCTCACAAAATGCTGAAAACAACTAAAAAGCTAACTCGTAAATACAGGTCTGGCATAGTTAGTTACAATGTTAGCGGTGTCAGTTATTCCCCTAAATGGAACTTAGTTCAATTTGGAAGATGCTCTTTTTATAACAGGCAAAACGGTATTGCATTCAGGGAAGCTTCCATTCACAAATTAGTACAATAATAAAGGAAAATACACACGCTATCCCTCTTCTGTGGATAAACATATAGAAATAGGAGCTCTCCGACCAGTATGAGGTTCTTCCCTTGCACCAGGGTCTGCAACATGAGTTTATGTGTGTTTGTTTGAATCAAATAGTGAGCCTAAGTTTTTTGATAAAGAAGGTGAAGTTAGGCTCAAAGAAGTATAATCATTGGAGCATGACAGCCAGTAATCCTGACACTTTTTTCTTCATGTAATTCATAAATCCACAATCTGCACATAAGGGGGAACTGAAAGTCTTTATCTACCACTATTGAGTGTTTTCTTTTCGTTTTCCCTCTGCCTTGATATTTTCACGAATACGTTGAGTTTGAGTGGAGGTTATTAAGTAATTCTGCCTTAGCTGCATCATTAGCACATAGTTGGTTACTCTGAGTTCTTTCCAACCATGTGAGCACTGCTGCGTGTACTTATGTGCGTATCGTCGCTGCAGTTGGAGACAGATTAAGAGCAAATATTTGATCCTTGTAGTTAATGCACCAACATACATCTCTATGATGTATGCAGGCCCAAGAGAACTGATGAGCTGAGAGAGTGGGAGGAAATCTGATTGGCCTCTTAATTCTGTAGCGTTCAGCAGATTTTGGAACATTGTATGTTCATTGTATATTAATAGCAAAAACACAAATTGTGGAGAAACTCACCACGTCTGGCAGCATCTGTGGGGAGAAAGCAAAATGAATGTTTTGAGTCCAGTGACTCTTCTTCAGAACCAAGATATTAAGTTGAACTCTCAATAAGATTAGATTTACTAGTCTTTAACCTTAATTTCTCTATTGCATCTATATTGTGATGACGTTAATGGCTGTATTCTCATGCCTTCTCTCCCCATCGCTGTTGTGCTATCTGACTTGTTCTTATCAGTTCAAGATGAGCAATGAAACTATGACATACCAGTTGCATTACAGTGCAGTCTCTGGTGAGCACAACAGGTTATGATTGAAGAAAACAAGATGAGTGAAAAATCAAAACCCAGAATAATTACATTTATGCACTGAAAGGTGATCTTTGGCTTGTGTACATCAATTTTTGCTCAAACAAAGAATCCTATTGGGGATGTCTCTGTGTATGTCACCCCATTTCCGTGCATCAGAAATAATGGAATGCAAGCATGCTAGCACTGTTTAATACTTGAGGACCTTTTGGATAAGTTATCCTTCCTATATTCATATTTGCCCTCTCAGGCACTAAGAAGCAGGGGGGTATGGGTCTTTTGGTGGCGAGAGTCAGAGAATTGGTCAGAAGTGAGAACACAGCCTGTGAATATGTTGAGATTGAGTTATTGTCCTTTGTGTGGGTATGAATGTATATTTATGTGGAGAGAAAGGTTCAATTCTTGGACAGGATCAATGTTTTATAATTGAAACTTCGAAATCTTGCATTTAGAGAGCTTGCAATTTTTAATTTTAACGTAAGTGGTGCAGTGTCGGATACCTGGAGGGGCATAAATTATTCATACAGCAGATGGCTAGTTTGCAGGGAATGGTTTTATGCTGAAATTTTAAAAATTGGAACTTGCCTTTTAATAGTAATCTAAAATTTGGGATAATATTCTAAATGGCCTACTTCTTAATGTGTAGTGTGATCACATGCTACATTAATTGGTGCTTTAATAGCTAGTATCCCATGAGCACCCAGTGATTTGCTGAATAAATGGGAACTAGTGCAATCAAATTTAGTGATGGTTATACCATTGTCCATGATCTGAATATAGTATTTCCTATGAGATTGCACATGGAATGATGAAGGCAGCATTTTATTAAGCCAGAGAATTTATTGAGCCTTTTTTTTATACTTGCCTGCAAAAGACCTTGCAATAGCAGCTGCATTTTGTTTCTTTGTGTCATCCCAAAACTCTCCAGCTAAGAGAAGCAGGAAAGCAGTTAATGAGGTAAAGATGGAAGCTCTACAACTTTACAGTTGGTCACCTTGCTTCTAGGAGTAAACAAACTAATTTAGTACCAGTGTGTATCCCAAGCAAAGGTTGTGGTTTAACATTAGCTTTTGATAATTTTTTCATGGGGTGAGGGTATCACTGGCAAACCTAGCATTTATTGCCAATCTCTTGTTGAACTTAAGATGGTGGTGAGGAGCTACCTTCTTAAACCATTGTAGTCCATGTGGTGTGGGTATACCCACAGAGCTGTTTAGGAAAGGAGTTCCAGGATTTTCATCCAGCAACAATGAAGGAATGCAATATGGTTCCAAATAAGAATGGTGAGAGTTTTGGAAGGGAACCTATAGGTGATAGTGTTGCTGTGTGCCTACTGACTTTGGAAAGTGCTGTGAAGAAGCCTTTCCTTTCTCCTTTCAATTTCTGGTTGACCTCTTATGCATTTCAAACTTTTTTCTGGTCTACTTTTATTGTGTGCATTCTTTAAAACCAGCTCAGAGAGATTTTAACAATTGCCTGTCAGCAGCCACAAAAATGATTTGAGCAAAGCATCTGGATTTACTTACTATTTTTTTGGTTCCTTGTTGAAGTGACTTGTGCAACCGTTCAATGTGCAATGTATGATATTTGTATGAGCTCATATCATCTACTTCATTGCATTTACGTAAATGTTTCTTAAAATTAATTAAAAAGATGTAGGCATAACAGACAAGACTAGCATTTATTGCCCATTCTTAATTATGCTTGATGTGGAGGTGCTGGTGTTGGACTGGGGTGGACAAAGTCAGAAGTCACACGACACCAGGCTACAGTCCAACAGGTTTATTTGAAATCATAAGCTTTTGGTGTGCTGCTCCTTCATCAGGTGAAGTGACGACAGAGCCGTGCTCTGAAAGCTTGTGATTTCAAATAAATCTGTTGTACCACAACCTGGTGTTGTGTGATTTCTGACTTTAATTACGCTTGAGAGGATCTTGGTGAGCCAAATTTTTGAGCCACTTCTTTTGTAATCACACCTATCGTACAATTTCTTAGATCTTTTCGGAAGGCTATTATGAATCAGTCACATCTCTGTGGGTGAGGAGTCTTTTATAGGCTAGACCAGCAAGGATGGCAGATTTCCTTCCCTAAAAGACTTATGAGTGCTACATGAGTTTTTGTGACAATCCAATAGTTTCTTAGTCTCCACAACTGATGCTAACTTTTACTTCAGTTGAATCAACTGAATTTAAATTCTATAGTTGCTCTGATGGGATTTGAACTGATGCCTCTAGATCATTAGACCAGTGGCTTATTAGTCCAGTAACCACTGTGCTAGTGTGCCCCCATGAATTGTACAAGACTTCTCTTTTTATTGTGACAATGGCTTGGCCAATGGCTTCAGTTTGTTGGCATTGGTGTGGTGGAAGAAATACTGTAAAAGATGCAGCATTTTTGTCCATGCGTAAAGAGAGTTGGAATCAATGTTGCTTTCCATCGTAGTTGTGTTATGGGAAAATCAATAAATTATTGAGATTCATAGGGTTCCATAAATGAAATTGTCTGGTCAAGGAAACAGAACTGGGTAAGATTGACAATTTCAGGAAGGAGCTGGATGTGCAAGTAGGTATGGCACTGACTCCTTACAGGCCCCTTTTATGATTGCAAATTTCCACATTAACGCTTAACTCTACTTTCCTGATGCTGTTACATTTGACAACTTTTTTAAAAAGAAAGTATTTTATTTTGATTCAAGTGAAATACGAAAGCAATTTAGAAAGCTACATAATTGTTTCTTGGGACAACAAGGTGCAGAGCTGGATGAACACAGCAGGCCAAGCAGCATCA